AGATGTGCTAAAGGCCACTAAATGGCAGGTAAAGAACCTTTTTTTTCTCCTTAAACAAAACGTTGATGTTTATCGACGTTGGTATCCCTGTTTAGAACTTGTAAAACCATTATACGTGCGTGTCATGTATGATCCTTTTTTTAATCTTTGGGATGTGGTTTCAATAGTGATTTTGAAGAGTCTAAATGATTTCGTCCAATCCCCCCAAAATGGTTCATTTATAGAAAGATATATAAGTTTGAATGACTTATCACATCAAATTCTTCATTTTCCTTTGTGCCAGGTATAATGCTCGAGTGTTTGTTTTCAATAAACGAATGCTTCATTATTATGGCATTGGCCACATACACAAACTTTTGTCCCAATGAAATCAACGCTTTTACCCCCCAACCCTTTCTGAAAAAATCCCGACTAATTATTGACTCTGCATTTATGACACATTATTTCCCTAAAATCACCGGCCACTTCCATATTTGCTTCTCTAGCCTTTTCATTAGAGGTAACCATGGATAACTTTTATTTCAATTTTGAACGTATATCTTTGAGACAACTTTATATGGAATTGAAACTAGAGGCCATCTTTTTGCCACTTGCAGGTATACATCTTCTATTTGGAATTCTCTGTTCCAACTGTCCGGGTTCAATACGGCTTTATCCTCACGGTCTGGTCTGCTGGAATGGGCAGCAACATCTTGGAAGAGAAAGTCCTTGATTTCTACTATTTTGAGACTCTTGGTGCGGTTTTAATCACACCATTTGGGAGGAAAGAAATCGAATGATTTTTACAGGGAAAAGCCGAAGTAATGAAGAGATTGTCAACAATGTTAAGATGATTGTTGGGACTATTTTAAGTAATAGTTCCATTAATAGAAATGATGGCATCAATTTAGATCTATGTGGCAATTGGGGTATTGTTTAATTTTGTTTGTACATAGGTTTCCTAAAGTTCTTCAAAGAAAAGAAAGATAAAACTAGTACTTTGTATATAGGTGAAGCTGGGCGAATGGCTTTCCTAAATCAATCTATGGTCAATCACCTGACACTCACTTTTGAATTTAGAGGCCAGTGGACTGCCCATTGATGTATTATTAATATATACATAATTATAAGATATGATTGACATTTGATATGTGAACGGATACACACCAAGATATGAGTCGTATTTATAATAAATCTTTATAACATTTTATATCCGAATTATTTGATTCAGATGTTAATAATCTAGACTCTTAGCCTAAGTGCCTAAGCTAGTTCCCAATAACATTCATTCGTAACAGACGTCCCAAAAGCAGCCGGTGGCTAAAAAGTCGTGCACAATGTGGGCCCAACTTCTTAGTGGTTGCTTTTTTTTTTGTTTTGTTTTGTGGATCGTGTTGATGAGATCAGCCCTAAGATTTTGGAGGGAGAACAAGGGGTTGGCAGTAGTGCCACGTGGTAAGAGGTTTATGTGGATGACATCAGCCCTTAAGTTTAAGAAGATTCCAACTGTCGAGAGTGATGTGGCACTGTCAGCCCACCCACCAACTTCGACAGAGGGACTGGAGAAGGGCATTGCATTATGTGAGCTGGAATTCACATATTTGTAAATTTTCGATTATTTTTAAAATTTGAATAATTTTATACTTTTGATTTCTAAGATATTTTAGAGATAACAAAATGATTTGAGACGTGAAAGTAGATTAGTGGGCTTAAATCCAAATTCTGTGCATGGAATTTCTTTTCTATGAGATATTTTTTTTAATAATTAGATTGATTGCAAACAATATTGTGGTATTGATTTGGAGGATGCCATGGTCAACGGGCAAAGGGCATTAAGGTCAGAGAAAATGACCCTCATTGGTAATTGAATTTCTTATTTTTTTGTTCATTGAAATTCAATATCACATTTACTATTTGACACCAAACCCACTAATTTCTGTCCTTTGTCCACTTCCACCGATTCAAATAATGTCAAATTGATGAACTCAAATTCAAATATAACTTCTTCTCCTACTAAAATTTTACTTTTTTAATCATCAATATTCTATTCTTCGATTTATTTTGTGAGCTGCCTAACAGCAGCACCGACAACGCCTTAAAGTCGGATTTGTAGATACAAAAAATTCTTCTATAGATTTGACCTAACAATAATACACTTATTTGCATTTGATTTGTCAAACATGAAAGTTTTCTCTATAATTTTGGTTGACTTCTCAACTGCAAAATCTCTAGAGTCAATGTCTGAGGCGTTTCATCAAACATTAATTTCTATCAAACTTTATATATTATAATTTACTACGAAACCAACGGCCTTAACTAAAAGCACGAAGTTTCATTAAGAAAAATTAAAGCACAAATCAAAACAAAACATTAACATTAAATCATTAATAATAATAATAATAATAATAAGAAGAAGAACTATTTCTACATTTTACAATAACTTTTTGTACATGCGACTCCCATACTGCGGTGGTCAAATTACATCTTTATATATACGCATAATAAATTTACTTGTACAATATAAAATTTTTAAAAAATATATATTAATCTATAATTATTGACCAGAGTGTAAATTAATGGTTGAAATTATTATTTTTTTCGTAAAAATCTTTGCATCCCCAGATTTGAGTGGGGGGTTTCGAGTACTTGGTTAAATGGATAAGAGTTAGGTATGTTGGTTGTTGTTATGTGTTGTTTTTTGTTCCCTTTTAAGCTACACTTTGGCCTCTTACCCACATGCTGCTTCTCTCACTCATGCTTCATGCATGGTGACCGTAAGGGTGTTTCTCGTAATATGCGCATACATATATGTTACATTATCAATTAATCAAATATAAATCGTAATACTATCCGATATTCACATATTGTGATCAAACTTCAAAGTGATCAAAAAATATTTAAGAATCACCTTTATTCCTGTAGTAGACTTAATTTATTATTTTTGTCTCTACCGTATTTTCGTATCAATTTAGTCCTCAAGTTGTTTAATTAAATCATTTTATACCATACTCTAACTTAAATCCTTAATTATAAACCTAAGTTAGGGTCTAGGCTTTATGAATTAGAGGTTATGGGGTTATGGTTTAGGGTTTAGAGTTTAGAGATTTAAGTTAGGGGTAGGACATAGAATGATGCAACCGAGCAACTTCGAGGGTTGAATTGATGCGAAAATACGATAAGAGCAAAAGTGATATATTGGATCAACTACAAGGATAAAAATTATTAGATTAAAATTGAGATATTTAAATCACTCGTTATTCCATAGAGAAATCATATACTTTAATTATATACAAATGAATTTATACACATTTAATTCTACATGACTATATGAGTGGTGTATATTGCTCACAAATCTCTTAATATATTATTTTCACTATTTGTAGCTGAAAAAAAATCAAATATAAGTTTATGTTTATACCTATCGATTTTAATATATTGCTCACAAATCCTTTTTTGCCTATTATGATTTTAAAATATATATATATTAAAATCATAATAGGCAAAAAAGGATTATATTCTTTCACCTTCTTGAACAACAATTGCATCTTGGACAAGTCACTTGGTCCCAAGGTTTAGATCACTGATCTTATGAAAATGGTCCTCCTACTCATACACAAAACTTCAAAATAAAATGAGTTAGAAACCCTTTTTATGAAAATGGTCCTCCTACTCCTACACAAAACTTCAAAATATATATATATATATATATATATATATATATATATATATATATATATATTGCAGACTGTATGGCTCACATGTTCAAAGATGGAGACCTTAAAAGTGTTGGGTATTGAGTATTGACTCAGATTTTTTTCATTAACTATCCTTCACCATTGATTTCATTCTTTAAAACTAAGAAACTTTCAAGTCATTGAGAGAGATTAAGGGAAGTTTGATACCATGCTTTGGTTGAAATTTTAGCTTGAGAAACCATCTCTTCTCACATCCAACATAGTAGCTTTCTATATATTGTAGGGTAAATTACACCAATCATTACTGAACTTTATCTTCTCTCTTATTTCACCCACTATACTTTAAATCCGTTCAATTTATTCACTGAATTTAACAAAATTAGCATTTTTTTTATCACTCAGTCATTTTCTCACTAAACAAAGTTATAAATAAACTGCTATATAAATGTAAAACGACGACTTTTTGGTGAAAAAATTATTTTTCTAAAACTTTGTCGTTTTAATGCCATTAAATATTTAAGGGATGGGTGACCAAAAATACTAATTGTATTAAATTCAGTGAGAAATTGAACGAATTTAAAGTATAGTGGGTGAAATAAGAGAGATAGTAAAGTTCAGTGATAATTGGTGTAATTTACCCTTCATTGTATTAAATTATGTATGGGGAAATTACAAAATCTAAGATGAAAGGCAAGAGCAATCATTACAAGAATTGAATGTAATCTCTTGATTATAATAGGTATAAAGATAATATATAGTTTTTCTCTTTAATTTTTAGATAAAATACATGAGAGATCATTGAATCATACTAAAATGATTATTTTAATTAATAAACTCGTAAAAATATAAAATGATTATTAAATTTTATTGAATCAATATTGATACAAAATATCATTAAATTTATTAAACTCTTACCCTTATTCTAACGTTATAAATTTTCTAATAATGTGATAAATTTAGTAGCTATTTGTAATTTTTTAAAAATTAATGACCAAGACAATTATTTAAGTATAGTTCATTAACTTTTTAGTGTATTTTACCATTAAGTTTTAAACGATGGAGAGAGAGCATTTAAGGGGATGGGGCCTGAGTGTGAGGCCTCCACTGTCTTTATGAGTGAATGATAAAGAGCACCGGACGTAGAGTCTGAATCAAGGAGTGTCCAACCACAATAAAAGGATCATATATCCTAATGAAAACAAAGTATATACATACCTAGATATTGTATGATGAATTTAGAAGAAAAGGAAAATAGAAAATTACAAACAGGTCCTCGAAGCAACAGAATATTACCCGAGGAGAAAATCAGTGCTCTTCTTTCTTTCTTAATTCTCACTCAATGAATTTGTTGCTTAAAGCTTTGGCCTCTTCCCTTATCCTCTCTGTCTCCGTCTCTCATTGGTGTTTGCAGAGATAAGAAGGGGAAAAAAAACTAAGCTGCGATCTTCTCCCATCTAAAGGGAATTCCCAAGCAACACATGACAACATTTTGAGAAAAAGAAAATGACCCAGTAGGCCACCAATTGAGGGTCACCTATGTACTAGGAGAGCCAAAAACAAATATAATCCCTCACATGATCATGGATGAAAATGAGATCCGCAGGCCCAACTTCCCTCTTCAGCTCCTAGAAAAGAAGGAACAACAACAACACGCCGGTAACGCCGAGACGAGCTCCAAAACAACCTCGGAACCGACCAAGAAACCTCTACCTAAGAGGACATCAACGAAAGACAGGCACACCAAGGTGGAAGGCCGTGGTCGTCGCATCCGTATGCCGGCGACGTGTGCCGCTAGGGTGTTCCAGTTGACGAGAGAGCTCGGTCACAAATCGGATGGCGAAACCATTGAATGGTTGCTTCAACAAGCTGAGCCTGCTGTGATTGCTGCTACGGGGACAGGTACTATCCCTGCTAATTTTACGTCCCTTAATATTTCACTCAGAAGTTCAGGCTCTACCATGTCAGCTTCCCACTTGAGGAGTACTTATTTCAATCCAAATTTCACTACACAACAATTGAGGATGAGAAGTGAATGTGATCAAAGGAATGCCCTTGACGACTCATCTCAACCACAAAGGAGGGTCTTATTTCCGGGAGTTGCTTTATCGTCCGAAGATTCATTAAACTTTCCCAGTAGTAGTAGCACTAGTTTCAACGCTTTCTTGCAAGCTAAACAAGAGATTCAGGACGCTAGCGTTGACCTCGCAGAGACAGCAGATACTAGCATAGGGAAAAGGAGGAGGGCGGAGCAGCAAGAATTGCAACAAAATCAGATGGGGAGTTACTTGATACAATCTAATGCCGGTTCGATTCCGGCGACTCTTAATCCGATCCCGACGACATTTTGGATGGTGGCTAATCCCGGAAACCAAGTCATGGGCGGGAGTGGAGCCGGGGATCCCGTGTGGACATTTCCTTCTGCTACTAGTACTAATATGTATAGGGGTACTATGTCTAGTGGGGTACATTTCATGAATTTCGCTACCCCAATGACTCTCCTACCTGGCCAACAATTTGGTTCAGGAAATGGTGCTGCTGCTGATTCAGTTACCGACACTCATTTAGGCATGCTCGCGTCACTTAATGCTTATAGACCGATTCCGGGTACAAACCCTTCCGAGTCTCCGGCCAGCGGATCACTTCCTCACCACGGCGGAGAAAACAAGCATGATTCAACTAGCTAGTGTTCGGTTCGGCCATGGCATTAAAGCAAATTACAAAGTGTATGGCTTGGTCATGCTTTATTCCCTTTTTTTTTCCACATATATTTTTAGTAGTACATATATGTGCAATTTGCAACACAGGCTCAAGTTTGAATGCTATGAAACTGATTTTGGTGTGACCGTAAATTAGATAATTAAACATTTTCAACATCACGTAACAATGTTAATCTTCAGGCTCAAGGGGAAACGATAGTAGATTTCATTAGGTTAGGTTTAAGAAACTCATCATTAGTTTACTAAAATGGTGGGGTTTTCAGTGCATTAATCACCGAGTAACTGCATTAGAGGTTTGGATTTAAGAAATAGGGAGAAAAAGGGCACACCTGATGAGAGATTAATAGTTTCTCAGATGGATCCTTTGGTCTCTAAAAGCAGTAAGCAATCAGTAAGTAGCAACAGTCTCATTCCTCCTCTTCTTCATATATGGAAGTAACCCTTCATCATGCTGCCTATGGCTCAACTCTATTTATTGGAAGCCCTACATAACCCAACAAGTGGGAATCTTCTTCTTCTTCGTTATTTTCCTTGTAAGTATTGGTGGAAGCTATTCCAATGGCGATTTCGGTTAGGTCTTCTATATTGGGAAACCTTTATATGGGCAGCATATCTATGAAGAATCCCAGTCTCAAAATGAGTAGTTCTTATATTTCTCTAACCATATAACTAAGTACGTAGGGTTTCTTTTGTGAGTTGCACGGCCTTACGATTACTGCTTAGGGCATCGGTAAATAGTCAAATAGTAATAAACATTTTGGTCCTTGATGAATCCTATAATTTATGTCTTAGATCCCTGTCAGATTGCATTGTTTTGCAGCATTAACTAATAATTCAAGACTGGGCTGCATCTATGTCAGTGTAGGGTAGTTATGATTGATTTAATTAAGTAGTCAGGTACCAACTTCGTAGTTACTACTGTCTAAGAAGGAAAGGATTGTGGTTTACATTAGACGATGGTTTCTTTTTTTACATGCTTCGTGTGAAACAAATCCTACAAATTTGAGTAAAAACCAATTGTTGTGGACTCTCTCAAAAGGATCGTCATAACTCATAACCTAACCACACTGTCCATTTGTTTGTAATTATGTGATCAGGTACCATAAATGTTTGCAAGTGCTAGGAACGTGAAAGTAAACACACACATGGTTTAATTAATTTCTCTCTACAACCACTTAATGCATTACTTTTGGTGTATTCAATCAAAAGTAAGTTGGTATATATATATATATATATATATATATATATATATATATATATATATATATATATTATCTTAGTCATTGTATATTTTGATAATTATTCGATATTTAATTCACCGACTAACTAATATAGATTCGGATATGTAGAAGCGTATAAATAAAGACTTAACATAGTTTATTTCATTAATACCGTTAGGATTTAAATCTTATACATTATTTAAAAGACTTAATATCTCATCCTACTAAATTTATCGGCACATCATCCATTATCATAAAAAACTGATTTGCAGGTCCTATGAAAGTTCTCTCTCATGAAGGATGATTTTAGCAAAAGTTTTCTCTGCATGACCCACACTAATCTTTATTGCATGGTTAAGATCACAGATTAACAATGTCCATATATTACATTTGAACATCCGGATACATTTGGTAAATCCATGTATGCTTAAAATATATATTTTTATCATTACATAATCTCAGTAGTAAAAGAGAATGTCGTTACGCAACTAAATTTACAGGGTCGTATTGTCAATTAATTAAGAAAACTTTGAATAGATACTACCTTATAATTATCTCAAACTATTTAAAATATATATAGAGAATATTGTTTTCATCTGTATTTGCATGTACAACGTGTGTGTATAAATATATATTAGTTGAGAGTCCTAAAAGTTGAAACATAAACCCAAATTTTTGCACGAACTCATGGTCCAACGCCAATACAATAGATTTCTCGAAGCCCAACTAAACCAAGGCCGTAACGTAGCTATTCCTTGCTTGCTTAGTGCACTGCAGACCATGATTTTAGGTAGCTTATCGATAAAACCATTAAAAAAATATAGGGAAATGCATTCGGATTAATTTTAATGTATTCAAAAGGAAAATAATTAATTTATTAAAACTGGTATTCATATCTTTAATCGATGTTATCATCTCATATGTGACATGTTTGGGTTGGTCTTTTGATGCGAGGGAACAGATAGACGATCACAGGTGATAAAATTCTAAGAAATTCGGTGCCTCTTTTACCGTGCAGCATAAGATTCTCCGATTCAACGTTTACCCCACAATTCCTCTATTATTCTTCACTTTCAAAGTTTAATCCACAAACCTTTTCACATTAACCCCCCTTCCTTTCACCACAACTTTAAAGCAAACCGCAAAAGCAGTCCGCAAAAGCATTGAGTGAGTGATGGGTAACCAGCAGAACTTTCTTCAAGTTGTTGCCAAGAACTTTGATGTTCTTGCTTTGTATGTCTCTTTTCTTGCAACCCTTTACTTCAGTTTCCACTTTGTCTTCCTCTTTCTAACTGGGTTTTTGTTTTGTTCACAGGCCTTTGGTCACTCTTGTTTACCCTCTGTAAGTACGAGTTTCCCTTCTTTGAACCAAATTGACGTTGTTATCATTTACACTTTTTCGTTGCAGATATGCTTCGGTTAAGGCCATAGAGACGAGGTCCAACAACGATGATCAACAATGGCTGACCTATTGGGTCCTTTACTCTCTCATCACACTTTTCGAACTCACATTTGCCAAACTCCTTGAATGGTAAGTAAGCCAAAAAAACAAGCTACTTTTTTTTTATGTAAGAAGAAACTGAAGCAGTGGTCGAATAATGTTAAAAGGTAATTTTACAGAAAAGGTGCTTTTATTCTCTTATTATTGTTATTATGATTTACAAAACTAAGGCCTATATATACACATCCATCATCAGTTATCTAACAAACTAACAAATTAATAACTGCCTAACAAACTAAATAACTGAAATCTAACACTCCCCCTCAAGTTGGTGGTTAAAGATGTTAATTAACCCCAACTTGGAAATTAAGTATTCATGTTGTTGAACTCCCAAGGCCTTTGTAAGAATGTCTGCTTGTTGATCTGTTGTCTTCACATACTCTGTTTCAATTATTCCTTCTTGAATCTTTTCTCGTACAAAATGGCAATCAATTTCAATGTGCTTTGTTCTCTCATGGAAAACTGGATTTGCTGCTATTTGAAGAGCTGCCTTGTTATCACACATCAATCTAGCTGGTCCCATGTTCTTGAACCCAAGCTCACTTAACAGACCTGTTAACCAAACTATTTCTGCAGCAGTCATTGCCATGCTACGATATTCTGCCTCGGCAGATGACCTTGCTATTGTATTTTGTTTCTTGGACTTCCAAGACAACAATGAGTCTCCTAGTTTCACACAGAAACCCGTTACTGATCTCCTAGTAGTAGGGCAAGTCGCCCAATCTGAGTCACAAAAAGCCTGAAGTTGGCACTGACTTTCTACACTCAACAACACTTCTTGACTTGGTCTGCCTTTGATATACCTGACCACCCTCAAAGCTGCTTCCAAGTGTAATTTCCTTGGTTGCTGCATGAACTGGCTCAGAAGTTGTACTGAATAAGCAATATCAGGTCTTGTGTTAGTGAGGTAGATTAACTTCCCAATCAACCTTTGATATCTCGTTTTGTCTTCTAACAACTCATCTTCAGAAACCAGTCTTTTATTCTGTTCCAAGGGAGTTGCAGTAGGCTTTGCACCCCCTAATCCAGTTTCTTCAATTAACTCCAATGCATATTTTCTTTGGCTTATAACTATTCCCTTTTCTGATCTCAATATTTCCAAACCAAGAAAATACCTCAGTTCACCCAGGTCTTTCATCTTAAAATTTCTATTCAGAATATCTTTGATTTCTTGAATCAGTCTATTGTCATTTCCAGTTATCAAAAGATCATCCACATATATAAGCATCATGACAATTTTGTTTCCTTGTGACTTAGTAAACAATGAGTAATCAAATTTACTTTGAGAATAACCTGCCATTAGAAGGGCCTCTGTCAGCTTCATGTTCCATTGCCTCGAAGCCTGCTTTAGTCCTTATAAGGATTTTTGCAGTCTACACACCCTAGTCTCCCCCTGACTGCAAAAACCATCAGGCAAGGACATATATACCTCCTCAACCAAATCACCTTGGAGGAAAGCATTGTAAACATCCATCTGAAAAAGAAGCCATTGATGAATAGATGCAAGAGCCAGGACTGTTCTCACAGTGACCAGCTTTGCCACAGGAGAGAAGGTCTCAACATAATCAACCCCTTCTCTTTGAGTGTATCCTTTAGCAACAAGACGAGCTTTAAACCACATCTCCATTCGAATTATATTTGATGCGATACACCCATTTACTTCCAATATGAGTCTTATTAGAGGGCAGGGGAACCAATGACCAAGTATTATTCGATTCCAAAGCTAAAATCTCCTCATTCATAGCCTTAACCCACACAGGATTTTGAATGGCTTCATTATAGGTCTTAGGTTCAACCAAATGAGAGACAGAAGAAAGGTAAAGTTGAGTTTTAACAGGAAGATGAGAATAAGAAAGAAAATTAGAAATTGGGTAAGTACCTGGAAGAGAAGAAGATTGGTAGGACTGAACATAATCATGTAACCAAGCAGGCTGTTTTTTGACCCTAGTAGATTGTCTAGGAGGGATGGAAATACTACTTAAGGAAGAGTCTTCCGAAACAGAAAGGTGAGGGGAAGGTTGAGGTAAAAAGGAATCATTTGTTGAAGCTTGAGGTGATGAAAACTGATTTGAAGTCCCAGAAGGTATAGGAGAATTGGACTGGGTAGTATGAAAGGGCATGACCAAAAAATCTGAATCAAAAACATCTTGAATAGGAAAAAATAAGGAAGAAGAGGAAATGGGAAATTTAAAAGGAAAAACGTCCTCATGAAACTTGACATCTCTGTTAACAAAGAATGATTGTTTCTCAAGATTAAACAGAATGTAACCTTTTTTAGTAGCAGAGTAACCCATGAATATGGAAGGTATAGCTTTTGGAGAAAATTTGTCCTTATAATTTGGTTGAGTGGCATAACACAAACAACCAAAAACTCTCATATGAGAGACAT